GGAGCCGGGTTCCCGACCAATCAGGAAGCCGGCAGGCGGGTCTTTACCTGCCGCCCGGATTCCTGATTGGCCGGGAAGCCGGCTCCATGTTCCCTTGCAGCACTGATGGTCAGAGGAAATCTCCCTCTGACCCGGAAGTTCCGGTATTGGGGTAAGGATCGGACCATTTGGGCATGTACGAGTATGTACCTAAATACTCGGTATCGGCACCAATACTAGTATCGGTGCATCCCTAGTAACAGGAATATGAGAAGAGGGTGACTGTCACATACCTAGGGGGAGTCTGAGTTGACGAGGGCGGCCTCTCTCACAGCTCTGGTCCCGGAGCACCTGGATTGGGTACAGGGGTGCTGGGGCCAGAGGCTTGTTAGCCTGTTGCGTCTGCGAGATGAGATGAAGTAGATCCGGGCAGGAAATGGATGCATCGAAGTGGATCAAGAAGGCTCTAGGTCAGATGAGCTGAGGAAGCAGAACACAAGGCAGAAGGATCGTCAAACAGGCCGAGGTCATCAATGAGCTAGCAACGTAGTACAAGGGGTGAGGCAGAATCAAGGTCAAAAACAAGCCGGGGTCTTCAGGGAGCAAGCAACAACAGAGGGTAGTCCAAGCCGGGTCAGTAACGGGTAATCAGGATAGAGAAAACACAGGAACACTGAAAGCTGACGATCTGACAGCATAGGAGGATAGCTGAACACAGCCTTTATAGCCCAGTTGGCGCCAATTGTTCAAATGACAGGTTGGCGCGTGCCTGTGCACACGTACGGCGACACTAATGGGTCAAATTGCTGGTTTTCCCCTGCTTCACGTGGTGGTACCTCCCATCCTGTAATGATGTTTAAGCCAGAGGGATCAACCAGCATGTGATGGGGGAGGGGGCAGGTAATCCACACAGTTAGAAGTGTGGAATACTTGCAGCAGCAGGGGCATTGCAAAGTATTTATAATACAGGGGCCGCTGAAAATATAAGTATATTCTTCCTATATTCTCCTGATCTCTTTTGCCGCCTAAGGCCACTGGCGGGGGAGGGTGTGAAGGTGGTGCACACACTTGGGGGGGAGGCAGGGGGTGCTGATGCAGAGTGATGCCACCGCTCTGGCCAGCATCCCGTCCAGCTTCTGGCAACCAGTGATGTCATTGGTTGCCAAGCGCTGAACGGGATGCTGGCCAGAGAGTCCCAGGTTGCTAAGAGACGTGGAGATGTATACGGCCCTTACTCATCTCCCCGCCTGGCTCAGAGGAACCTGAGACGCTCTGATTGAAAAGGGGGTTGGGAGGCATACTGCATACATTGTGCAGTAGAGCAGCCATGCCTGTCTGCCTGCTTCTCCCCATGTGACCCACAGAGAAACCACCTGAGGCAACAGCCAGTTTGCTCAATGTCAAGCCTGATGAAGAGACCATGTGTGGCCCCTAAAGTGCTTGTTCTATTCTGATATGGTTCTGAATGCATGAACACTTGGTGATCCTGAAAGGATTTTGGTGTGCTGGTGACAGTCCACACATGTTTAACAGCCTCATTATAGGGGCGGCCCTTTCTCTCTTCCCTTAGCAGGTATGCGTTTGGACCCAGGTGACGCAGTGCTCATTTCATATAAAATTAAATACTAAAATCTCATTACTATTCTCTTGAACTGTTTTCTTCCAACACATCTAACACAACAAAAGTCCCCCCTGCACCTATGAGGAAACACAAATTCTGTGATAAAAGTATGACTGGCATAGCCGAGTCTGGCAGGTGCCCGCCCGGGGAAACAGGAATACCTATGGCAAGCTCTCCTAGGCCTCAAACATGTCCGTTACTATGACACCCCGGCGCTCTCACTAAGGCCCCAGTCACACTTGAGCTGGGCGTCTTTGGGGGGGACATTTGTACCAGTATTCTTGCACACTTTCAAGCTTGATTGGTTTTTACATTATTTTTGGCCAATAAAAAACGTATCAACAAAAGGCGTTACGTGCTATTTTTCCAGCCTTTTGTAAAGCTTTTTCTGCCCTAAAAAATCCTATCCATTTCTATGGCCCTGTTCACATCTGAGCGTTTAGTCGCAATAAGCAAAACGCCTGTCACTGGAAAAAGTACCAGAGCTTTTTTTTGGCATATTACAGCTCGCTTCGGCCCCGTAGACTCAATAGGAAACGCTTGAAAATGCCCGTTTGCTGTTTCTGCGCGTGCATACAATCTGCTCACAAAAACCGTGCATCAAAAAAACACGTTGAAACGCGCAAAAACGTTGTCGCCTAGGTGTGAACCAGGCCTAAAAGAACTTTTTTGAGCTTGCAGCAAGCAACGGAATACTCAGGTGTGAACAGGGACCATTGGAAACAATGGGATCCCTACTTTTGAGCGTTGAAATGGTAGTTCCCAGGGGAAAGCAGCCTCGGCACGCCAGCTGTGGTGAAACTACAAATCCCAGAATGCCTGTGACTGTCAGAGTCTTGCAATGCCTCATGGGACTCGTAGTTCCACAGCAGCTGGAGTGCCAAGATTACCTACCCCCGGTGTAGTCATTCCAGCTATAAAACACACATGAGTGAAATAGTGAATGATGCCTGAAGGATTCCCATCCCAGGATAGTCTCTTCCCAGAATACAAGGAGAGGCGGCACATGACACGTGACGTCACGCCTAGCTAAGTCACGTGTGCCCCTACAGCTGTGGTACTCCTGTAGCCCCTCAGCTATCTCTGTGTCTGGCCATGGGAATTGTAGTTCCCCGGCTATCCACGCTGTATGGAATGCATAGCGCGGTGCAATACAAGCCCCAGCATTCCCTGCGAGAGTGACGTCACTCAGTGTGACTTTCGGGTGGGGGTCTGTAAAGGGGTGTACAGGGGGGAGAAGGCCTGCTGAGAACCTTCCCTTGTGGTATATCTTACTGAGCGTCCGGTGCGCGGGTTATGACGACTCACCATAGTGCCCGGGCTGAGTGCAGGGGGGATGTAGGCTCTGTCACCCAGCAGCACAGCACAAGAATCCATTGAGCAGCTACAATACAGTGTTCCTATCTGCTCACTGAAATATGAAGTGTGACTTGTGTGTGTGTGTACAGAAATGAATAGTCAGTGCTAGCACTGATGTATTGCTGTGTCACTGGGGCTGCCTATTCAGTGTTATCACAGGGCATCACCTTACATAGTGAGCTTGTCTCATATTGTGACACAGAATTGTCATTATTTCTAATATAGTGTCTGCTACGCTGTGCGTGTGTGTGCGTCCTCCGCGCTGGACAACGCAGGTATACGCTCAGGCCTGTACGGGGCAGCAATGTGGGGGGACTTGTGTCAACAGATCCATAGACTTGTCCTAGATAGAACCTGGCAGATCGTTCACTGAACGCAACAAATCCTGCAAAGTATGGCCCATCTACGAGACTTCCCGGTGAAGGTAATGTATCCGCTCATCGGTATGTTTATTATTATTTATGTTATTATATGTCACATGCGGCATTGTCTACACTTAGTATTGTGGCTGGCCCGTTGATAACTAACAATATATTGGCATTTGTTACATCGTAAAGCAGAACTCCAGGGAAATGTTTTTTCTTAACCCTTGCATTGGGGCGACCCCTGCACTACAAGGGTCAACTGCTCGTATTGGTCTAGGGAGGGAAAAAGTTATACTCACCCGATCCTCAGACGTGGCCAGCTCTGAGCCTCGCTTCCCCTCCGCTGCAGCGGTCTAAGGTCCCCGAGTCATCACATTCTATACACAGTGCATAAGACAGAGGACGCCATGGGACATTCCATCACCGGAGGAAATGGAGGGAGCACTGTCGCAGCCGACTGGCTTAGAGGATTGGCTGAGTATAATGAGCAGTTCAAGAAGGACTTCAGGAAATGTTGTATTAACCCTTGTAGTGGTGCTACCTCCGCACTGCAAGGTTTAAAACGGACCATTACCCATATCTTCAAAATAACAACAAACACACCTTTTAGAAATGTTTAGTAATGACAATCTACAAACAGAAACTTCTAGATAATTGCCAGCTTTGTATTCTTTGCATTCCTTATTACTCTTTTTTCTTTCCCAGTCTTCTGGCAGTAGCCATTTTAACTAAGGGCAGATTATCAGATCAAAGGTGGTAAAGCTCCACTTTAAATGCTCGTTTTGGTCTAGGTTAAAAAAACAAAGCTATACTAACCCGATGCTCTGAGACGGCTTCTTCTTAGACTGGTCCTCCCAGCCTCTCTCCCCCCTCCGCTGCAGCAGTCTATGGTCCTTTAAATCATCACGTTCTATACGCATTGAGGTGAATTTATCAAAACTGGAGCAGCTGTGCATGGAAACCAATCAGCTTCTCTCTTTCATTTTCAACTCTTAAGGTGGCCATACACTGTACAACCATCGCAAGACCTTAGTCTTGCGATGGTTGTAAAGGGATTAAAAAAACGTACGATCTGCCTATCTTGGACAGGCAGATCGCACTCTCGATCATCGCAGGCCCGCCCCCCGGGGGGGCGGGCTTCCGATGACCGCAATGCTGAACGGGCAGTGTGCGCGTGCGCACACCGGCCCGTTCAGCATTTGTCTTCCGAGCACCGTTCTAACCAGCCGAAAATCGTACGATTCCCGGCTGGTTTTCGAACATGCTGGTTCGACGGAAGACGTGCGACCGTACAGTAGAAACGGTCGCACGTCTCCGTTCACACTGCTCGATTATCGTACGATCGCGGGATTTCCCGCGATTCTCGTACGAGAATCGAGCAGTGTATGGGCACCTTTAACTGAAGAGAGAAGCTGATTGGTTCCCCTGGGCAACTCCTGCAGATTTTGTCTGCTCCAGTGTTGATACATTTCCCCCAGTGTGTAGATGTGAGGGCACTGAGGAAGATTCCAATGCTGCAATGGAGGAGGGGACAGGAAGGAGGGAGCACTGTGACAGCTTTGGGTGAGTTATTTTTGAACCTACTGAGCAGTTAACCCTCGCAGTGCATGAGAAGCCCCACTGCAAGGATTAATACAAATGTTGCCCGCAGTTCTGTAAAGTGTATGTATAGACAACTTCTTCTTTTTTTTGGTCATCTGTCGGTCAGCGGATGTCAGTTTTGTGGCTTCTGTACTTTTTTTGTTTTATATCTGCCTTGAGTTCAGCTTTAATTAAAAACGGTGACATTCTGCAATATTTCTCGAAGCAAGAAAAGATTCTTAAACTCCCTACAGAACTCACATGATGCTATCAGGAAATGGTATTTTTTTTTTTTCCCACTTTGTTCTTATTTGTCATTTTTAGGGCTCCAGAATGGATCCAGAACACCTGTTTACGAAGTTGGAGCGGATTGGGAAGGGTTCATTCGGAGAAGTGTACAAGGGCATAGATAACCGTACCAAGGAAGTGGTGGCAATAAAAATCATAGATTTAGAAGAGGCGGAGGATGAGATTGAAGACATCCAGCAGGAGATCACCGTTCTGAGTCAATGTGACAGTCCTTACATCACCCGCTATTATGGCTCCTATCTGAAGGTGATTTTCTTAGCATACCTGTGCAAGGAGATTCCTTGTACTTACAAATTGAGTGTTCCCCTCTTCACCCTATGTACTCTCGCCATTCATAATAGAAAGTGTACTCTCCCACAAGATGGACCTTTACATTTATTAAAGGTCTTACGCTGCTGTGTTTACAGGAACAGAATCTCTGATCTATCAGAGAAACGCCTCTGTTGGTGTTGCACCTCTAGATACAGATCACTGTTATAAAAGATTTTTAATCCCTTATATGGTCAATACACATAACTATCCGTAGCGATATAAAAGGTTTTGGCTGGAGTCCAGCTTGGTGGATTGTTGCTTAGCATAATTATTTTTTTTAAAGAAGTTACAATTAGGGATGCACCGAAATTTCGGCCGAAAATTGCACTTTTGGCTTATTGCCAAAAGTGCCATGATGGCCGAAAACTCAGTGTATCCCAGCTTCTATTTTTCCCGCTGGGTGGCAGTCTGTGTGCCTTCCGATGCAGCGCCAGCATCCAGCAGGGAGGAGAGAAGCTTTCAGGATGCCGAGCGGTGACCGCTGTCATGGTAACTTGCAGGAGGCCAAGCTCTCCTCCCAGCTCGACCTCCTGTGTCAGGATGGAAAGTGGTGAGTGGAGGAGAGCGCTGTGATCTGTCACAAGCAGCGGGGCTCTCCTCCTCCACTTCCCACCCCCCTCCTGTGACAGCCAAGTCAGGACGCAGAGCGTGTATACAAACACTCACCGATCAGCTTATCGTAAATAACTTGACATAGTGTGCTTACTATGTCCAGTTATGAATGAACAGGATGTGCTCTACATCACTTCCTGTTCATTCATGATTGTGGACATGGTAAACATACTATCTCTACATGTTATGAATAAACAGGAACACTCAGTATAGAGGATTCCTGTTCATTTATAACAGGGATACGGAAAAAGAGATTGAAGACTCTGTGTTCTCAATCTTATTTTGGCTGTTTAGACACTATTTACGGTGGCTACTTTTACAACACACACAGGGACCATGGGGAACAAAAGTAGCCCCCCTCCAGAAGGAAGGACAGTGTCAGCACCAATTCAGAGATGATTTGAGGATCTACAGCCGAGTGATACACAAATAAGATACATTTTTGCACAGGAGGTCTGCATTGACAGCCTCCATGTTTCCATCATGACAGGTTTACTTCATGGTGGTCATCTTTTGGATGGCATTTATTAACATGTTTGTACTATGTTTTTTCTTATTTAGGGATCGAAGCTGTGGATTATAATGGAGTATCTGGGAGGAGGATCTGCACTAGATTTAGTAAGTGAGCAAATGTCATATCCCAGAGGTAAAGGTTCTGCTAGAGTTGGCATGGCATACATTTGTGACTACTATATACAAAATATATATAAAAATGTCGGGTGCTGCCTATACTAAGCAATGATATTCTAGCTGTCATTTTCTGATGAATGACAATATCTGACCACCTCTATGTTATCTCTATTTCCATGCTTTTTAATAAGCGCTTTAGTAGACATGTCTCTCCGTGTACACTCCCATTTTATTATGCTTTATGTGATCTCTGGCCCCTTTGTATCTTTGCATGCATCAGCTGAAGCCTGGGCCACTGGAAGAGTCCTATATTGCCACAATATTACGGGAAATCCTCAAAGGCTTGGATTATTTGCACTCGGAGAGGAAGATCCACAGAGACATCAAAGGTAGGGTATAGGTTACATTGTACGTTTTTAGTGCCTGAATGTAAAGATTTCTTCTCTTATGTATTTTTTAATTGGTGAGTACAAAAGTGACTTAAAAGAGAAAGCCAAAAAATAAAGGCTGATAAGATTATACAGACATTTTCATGCAGTACCATGGACCAGCCCAATCTCTTGCAGCAAATCAGTTTTCACAGATCCGGAAAGCTTGATCTCAAAGTTCATCTGCATATTGGGACTGATCTGTTCAGCGACATCTTAATTCTCCCACGTGCAAACAGCAGGGCATTGGTGCTGCAGTTATTAATACGAGGTCTGGAAAACCATGATGTGGGTCGATATTTATTTATTTTTTTTACTCTCCATTTCATTTTTATTCAAGTCTTTACTATGATTAAAAAAGCACATTTATGAAAACACATTGAGGGGAATTTATCAAAACTGGAGCAGACAAAATCTGGAGCAGCTGAGCATGGCAACCAATCAGCTTCTCAATTTTCAAATCTTAACCGAACAAACAGAAGAGAGACGCTTATTGGTTGCCATGGGCAACTGCTCCAGATATTATTTGTTCCAGTTTTGATAAATTTCCACTTTTATCTATTTTTATCCAGGTAGACTTTCAGAGATCAGATCTGTTGGTATAATTTTTTTTTTACATCTTTGCATTTTAGCTGCAAATGTATTGCTGTCTGAGCAGGGAGATGTGAAACTGGCAGATTTTGGGGTAGCCGGCCAACTGACAGACACCCAGATCAAGAGGAACACATTTGTGGGAACCCCTTTCTGGATGGCGCCAGAAGTCATCAAGCAGTCTGCCTATGATTTTAAGGTTGGAAATCACGATGATGTTTGCTGGATTATTAGACGGTATGCCAATTCATCCATAAACTAAGATGTTTTTTCTTTTTCTAGGCTGATATTTGGTCCTTGGGGATTACAGCTATTGAGCTCGCCAAAGGAGAACCCCCATACTCAGATCTACACCCAATGAGAGTTTTGTTCCTCATCCCCAAAAACAACCCTCCATCCCTACAGGGCCAGCACAGCAAACCTTTTAAAGATTTTATAGACGCCTGTCTGAACAAAGACCCTCGACTAGTGAGTATCCATCTTTCTATGCATCATATTTTAAAACCCAACCCCACTTTGTATATATATTTTTAAATGCTACTTACCCACTCTACACTTTACTTCACTCACTTGTCTCTAGCATAACACTTCTTCCAAGTTAAATATAATTGGTTTGGAACATTCATTTCTGCCCAGACCCAGTGCATTACTCTCTGTACAAAGCTAAAATATATCTTATGGGGTAATGGTGGCCTTTAACATTATTGAGTATCAGTTGGAGGCATGCCTTATCTGGCCCTGTGCTGAGAAGGTATATGTTGTATAATATTTAAACCAAGGAATCCCATAAACAGCAGGGGGGAGGGGGAGGGTTTAACCGAAAGAATGATTGTTTTTCTAAACTTTAATTGAGTTAAATCCTTGGTCAGTTTATTTGAAAATCGTGGTAAGTTTGGAGGGGGTTACAAATCAAATGCTTCCAGTTACTCGGTGAGGAATTTGTGCTCCCTTATAATATGTTCTTGTGTTACCTTCCGCTCCCACATGCGGTTTCTTCTCAGTTTGGGAATCTCACTAATCCTTTCTCCGCTAAGCCTTGTCTAAGTGCTGCCCTAAATAATTGAGATCCATATTGTATAGCTCTTTACAAACCCCTCGGTTGAAGGTGCTGACTTTTTACAAGAAGCCTACATGGGAGGCGAAGGTTGGCCAGATGGATGATGAGGAATGGGAATGGGAGGTCTAACCATAGACAGGTGTCCCTTAAAGTTAGCAATAGGCTTACCTACTTATTCATTCTACATCACACTTCCCTTGCCCCAAGTGTCAGCAAGCCCCAGGCATCATTTACCACTTATTGTAGTCATGCCCCCAGCTAGAGGCACATTGGCATAAGATAGTGACGTTTCTGCGTGATGTAATAGTATCACCGTTAGCACATGGCCCCAAACAGTACCTGTGAGGTCTATTTGTACACCTAGAACTGGATCAATATTTGCATGAAAACTTTGTTTACAGCTAGAAAGTTCATCACAAAACTGTGGATACAGGCCTTGCACCAACATTGCAACAATAGATAATAGAGCTCAATAAGTTTCTCCCGTATAAGAAGCTGATGTATGAACACGGGTTGTTCTAATATATTTTTTTTTAAATTGGGGCGTGTGGCAGGCTAGTCCAGCCCCTTGCTGTCCCCTTGATGAGGAGGATGTACAGCTCTGAATTCCTTTTAACCATACTGGGGGCGTGGGCACCTCTTTAATCATAGTTATGATTTTCCCCTCTGCCCTAAATGTGTAAACCCTGTACGTTCTTCAGGACTTGCAGACAGCTGCGCACTGGGTTCTCTATGTAACTGTTTTATCCAGAGTCAATGCTTGATGGGCCTCATGTGGTTTATACATTTTGTAAATAAAACCTGCCTTGTACCTGTCACTGCTCCTTGCTGAGCCTAAAGGTGAGCTCTTGATATGACTGCTCTCTGTATGTTGCAATAACAAAAAAGTTGGGAGTTTTTTTTTGGGCACCACAAGACAAGTCCAATGAACTCCAAATGAGAAAAAAAAATATATACAGTATATATAATTTATTTTAATTTCATACAAAGGTTAAAAGCATCAGTTAATGCATATAGAGTATAGAAAAAGAACACACAACTACGAGTGAACCTCCTAACACCCCCCTAAGTTCCAAATTAGAGGTTAGATTGCATAATCAAGGATCTATAGACATGATTGGTAGATGATGATACAATTATTAAACGGATACATTTCATAAGAATAGAAAATCCATATTCATAGTAATAAAGAACCTCTAGTGGAACAAAATTGGTGGGTGGTGGTGCAGTACTTGCAATGCTCCATGGTAATGCAGTACTTGCAATGCTCTACGCGTTTCGTGCCGCAGGGCGCTTCATCGGGAGGAGGTGGTCCCCTTATTTTATATATTTATTTTCGTTTGGAGTTCATTGGACTTGTCTTGTGGTGCCTAAAAAAAACCCCAAAATGTTTTATTATTTGTTATTGCTAGTTAACCAGGGGTTGGCACCCAGGTATTCAGGACCTGTGCACCATAACCATTCTTGTTAAAATGTTCTCTGTATGACATTACTCTACATGTACCATTAATGTATTAGTTAGTGGACTTCTTCTTTAATACGAGAAATGTTTTGATAATCCCTCTTTGGTACTCCTAACATCAGCTTGCATAGAACTTGGGCCATCTGCACTCTTGATCTACTGAGGGCCTTTAAAGAGACACTGTCACTTTGCTAATTTAGGGACAGTGCCTCATGATAGCCTACCCCTGACAAGGCATACTTACCTATTCATGTTCCATCACTGTCTTCCTGCAATGCAAAATCACTCGCTCTGTTGCTCTGCCAGAGGGCTTCTGGGTATAGAGCATGTATTGGGCCTGAGCGGCCAATCTCCATACCCTAGTAATGAGTGGAGCTCACTAGGGCAGAGGTAGGCAAACTCAGCCCTCAAGCTGTGGTAGTACTACATATCCCATCATGCATCTCCCTTTGGGAGTCAGGCCAGTGGCTGTCAGTCTTGCAATGCCTAATGGGATTTGTAGATTTGCCACAGCTGGAGGGCCAAAGTTTGCCACCTCTGCCCTAAGGTAACCTCTGAGACTGGAGCTTAATCAGGATATTTCTTGTAGCTGAGGGGTGGGTTATGAGGAAGCACTGTACCTCTTTACTGAATAGGCTGGTGACAGTGTCTGCCATATTTTGTCGTAGTAGCCACCAGTAATTCCCAGCACTACCCTACTGCCATCTCAAAGCTAAATGATGGTGATGTACTCCTTTGATGTGTTCTCCACAGGATACTGAAGAGTAAACAGTTTGGATAGTTCTGCAATAGGAAAGTGACATCTTCACTATGGTCCTGTTAGAGAAGGTGGAGGCAACCAATAGCAAAGAAACATTGCCATTGCTGTCTCCTAACAAAGTGTGTTATTAGTGGAAATAAGATGTTAATTGGCTATGAAAAACGTATTCAGTACTATCTCAAATGTCTGTTCCAAATAACCATTGAGGTTTTTAAAGCACCTCTATGCAGCGGTTCTTACAAGGCCTCCTTAAGGCTTTTGCTACGGTCATATTTGCAGCATAGGGATTTAACTTGTTGGAATTGATGGTTGGAATATTGTTTTACTTGCCTACAGAGGTGGACCCAACTAGGAGCCTTGGGGAAAATGCTTCATGATATATCATGTTCTAGTGTAGGTTCCATTTCATACGTGTTTGGGGAGAAGGAATTTGTTCTCATGCAGTGAGTGATGTCTTTTGCCTTGTGTAATAGAGGCCTACAGCACGTGAGCTGCTGAAACATCGATTTATTCTACGATACACCAAGAAAACCTCTTTCCTTATGGAACTGGTGGAGAGATACAAGCGATGGAAAGCTCAGGGTCACCGTGATGACTCCAGTTCTGTTGAGTCTGACCTGTGAGTACAGAAATTTCCTGTTGTGTGGCATATTGTGCAAACTTATGCGGTAACTGACAGTGCTTTACTATTGTAACCAGAGATAATGAAGATGAGAGGAATCAGAACCAGACTCCTCACTGGTCATTTCCAGAAACCATGCGCCCCTCCTCCATGAGCAGATTGCAGTGGGGATACCAGCAGGTAATTGCCTATGTTAGTTGTGCTCAGTCTTTGTAAAATGAAACCCCCAAATGTTGGCAAGCCTTTGTGCTAGTACCCCAAGTGTCAGATATTGCCATTATTATATTGCAAATCTACAAACACTCCAAAACTAGCCTATAGCGTCACATTAAGTTTAGGGGAGCAGTTTGTAACCATTTTCTGTGCTTCTGCAGGTGGTGCTTGTGCTGCTCAGGAGCTCTTTACCTGTCTACTTTTAGTTCAGAGATAGATTCATGGATTCACTTCCAGGCTCAATGTGTGTTTGCGAGTGTATTTCCAATAAAAGTGTATAAGGAATCTTAAGACCCATGGCAAATGTCAGACAGCTAGCTTGAGGCACCTTTAGGGTATAAGTACCTAAGCCCTCTTGGCATAAAGCTCTGATTTTGCAGTGTGCACAATGAGGTTTGCTTGTACGGCACTGCAGAACTCAGCCAGATCGCATTTGATCAGAAGCATGTGAGAATACACAGAATAATTCTGTTGAACGTCCATTATTAATCTTGGTGATTAAATAAATGTATACAACTTCTATTCTAATACCATGTATTTTTTTTTAACAGTCAGCAGAGGCAATAAAGCGCCTGCCTCGGTCACACTGTCTATCTGCCCTGGTGACCCCTGTGTTCCAGGAGGTAAGCTATTAAGTATCAACAATATATACTTGCTGGTATGGTGCCATCTGCATGTCTTTCTGTGTGTTGGAGCAGTCTTGTGGCAACCTCAACTGTTAGTCATGAAACATTTTTGACTTTTTAATTTTCCTGGGCTCAAAAAGCCTTAGGCTACATTCTCACAAGAATCGTCCGGCGCGTACAGCTCCGTGCATGGCCATATCTGGCAGCTCCCGGGAAGGACAGCTGCTGAGTGTGATTAGTACGCAGCCCCTGTCCTTCTCTATGGGACTACGCGGCCTTACGCCACCCTACGCTCACCTGCCCTGCACATCTGTGCGGGTGTCCGTACTCGTACGCTGACAGGATGGATCCTGTCTGCGTCCGAGCCCGGACACCCGCACCCGTACGGACCTGCACTTGGGGGTCAGCGTACGGTGCCGTACGGCAACGTAGTCCCATAGAGGACGGTTGGCTGCGTACTAATCACACGCTGCACCTGTCCTTCCCGGGAGCTGCCCGATACAGCTGTGCACACAGCATGGAGCTGTACATGTCGACCTATTCATTTCAGAGATGTCTCCGCTCCACACTTTATACCTTTCAGCATTTGTAGTCTCCCCTAACATATCTTTTTTTATACTGTGTGTTGTGGTATATGTCTCTGGGACAGATACTTTATTTTTTCTTCATGGGGAGTCTGGTAGAGGTTAGTCCTGATCCAAATCACCATGCAGTTCTGCAGCAACAGGTCACTTCTAACCGTGTTGTACTGCTAGCTGCAAACAGCAAGCAATAGTTCACTATAGCAGCAGCCATATAGTGCAACAGCTCTACCCTGTAGCTGATGTCCCTTGGGACATGAGGGGAGGGGGTACTATTTTTTTGGGGAAAGGGACCGTATTGTTTTGTGTATATGCAGAATATAGGCACATTGTTTATGGCCTCCAACATTTGTACACCAGGGATTTAGTCTGATGGATAGGCAGATATAAATAGTGTAATCTGCCATTAATCTGGAGAAGGGGATCGGTTGCTCGTACATGCTCCCTACTCAGCTTATTATAGACTCAACCTTAGTAGTTAAGTATTCAGTTTAATTCCATTTCTATTGCTTGTAAACTTTTCCTAAACGATTTATAAAAAAAAACTATTATAACAGCAGATGACTGTCTCTCCACATCCCAGCTAAGGGAGCAGCGCTGTGCTGGAGCATTCGGATCTGTTCAGGAGCTGGAGAATGCCTTCAGTTTAGCGGAGGAGTCCAGTCCTGGAATCACGGACCAGCTCATTTCTCACTTGGTTCAGCGTGTGCAGAGGTAATGAGAAGTCTAATAATAATTTTTCACTGTTGTAGAAACTGACTCTGGAAACCGCTGCATTTTTCTTTTCTGAATTGTTGACAGTTAACGCAAATAAAAGCACCTGTTAAAAGTGAAAATGCGGTCATTACTATCCTCTCCTTCTGAAAATGTTAGTTGCTTGGCCATCATTCTGACACCCTAGCTTTAATACTTCACTGTCCCAGGGCAGGTATGCAGATACAGAAAGTAAGAGAAAGGCCCTTCTCTGCATATTCTAGATCAATGAGCAATTAAGTAGGGGAGTCAGCAGGACAGCAAGGTGACAGGAAAGTAAGGGCAGTCTAAATGTTTCTCTTGTATACGTGTTGTAAGTACTTATTGCAGATCAGGATAATATTGAAGTCAGATTGTCAGCATAAGAGGCAATAGCATGTTTAGACATGGCAGTCCCCTTCTGAAGTATGCAAGACTTTATTAAACAAATTCAACTATCAGCTCTATGCAGGAAATCTCCTAGTTGAAGTAATTGTTTACATAAGAGAGCCTATAGGTATCGGGTAGGTGCAAGCACCCTTACTAAATATTATTGCTGAGTGACTGAAGCCTGAGAGTTTAGTGTTGGTGATTATGGTTAAAGGTGTATGTATAGCCAGCCAAATTCTGTATGCTGTTGGAGAGGGTTCTCTTCACTCCCTGTCCTGAAGATGCAACAGGAAATGAGTGTCCCAATTGGCAGATTTGACCACAGCTTCTGTTTTAGTGACAGGTGTAAAATTTTGGATTTCCCATCACTTTCTCCTGGGTCATGGTTAAAACTATTTGACAGGGAATAAAAGGCTTCCAAACCTAAATAAAAACATTTTAGCAAGAGATACAACGTAACATAAAAAACTCTACTTTACATTGAGAGTCGGTCAGGGTGACAACTCACTTTAGGGACCCTTCAGTCAATTGCAGCAAACAAAAAGGTATTTTTGAGCATCCTATACAGGTTTTTTTTAATTTAAGGTAAAAGAGGCAGATGTATTTTTTTTTTTATTTTTTTTTTATGCACATGTCTATCCAGTTCCTGGGATTTGTCCAGCTCTGCATTACATGGTGGGCTATAATCTGAAAAGTCTGTTCCACTTTTGCAAGTGGCTGATTTCTAGCACTTCTCTTTCCAGGTTCTCCTCTTCATCCTGAGACCACATTATTGCTGCTTCACTCATTCCCTCTTCAAGCCTCAGTATGAACTGGGGCTGTACTGTGACTGGGAAAGTTACCACCATGGCATTACTTCAAGTATAGTATTCTTTATTTTTTTGATTGTAACATACAAAATGTTTACCATTATGTCTCATCAACCAGTACTCATGTACAAAATAAACTGACATTTCATACACAAGTGTCAGCTGGCATTCTTAAACACTGGTTTTCTTTGCATATTTATTACAATACAGTATATTAAAGCTTTATCTTCTAAGAAAAATGTATCAAAATCAGAAACATGAAGACAAATTAGAACGATTGCTTGCCACAACAACACAGGCAACTGAGCTAGTACGTTAAAGATAAAATGCAACAGTTGGTTTAAAGCAGAACACCAAGATGGGGGGGGGAGGGGGGGGGGCAGTGCAGGGGACCCCACTGCAAGGGCATTTTTACAGCTCAGCTGTAAGATAAACAGTATATTATGTAAAGATAAAACTACAGAAATTCTCCTGTGAACTATTTTGCTAAAAATTTGTATTAAATTGGTAAACCTTTTTTGCCTTATGAAATTAAAGCCGAACTCCAGAAATTCTTTTATGGATACTTATATTAAGCCAAGCTGGACCAATGTAAGTACCCATGTCTGATATCTGGAGGGCCACTGGGGATGCTGCAAATCACTGTAGTCGTCTGCACTTCATACAGTGATAGTTGGTCTCTTCTAGCTGCGGTTTCCCCTCTGCACACTGAGCACGGAATTGCTAGCTTGGCACTGCTGTAATTCAGAGAATGGCTTGTATTTATTTTCAGTGAATACATGAATTTCTCTTGGACAAGGTGGAGAGGAGGGGCAAATGGTGTCAGTCTCTTCCTAATCCAATCAGAGACTGCTTTGTACTCATTGAAAGAAGAAAAAAAAAACAAAAAGCGATCAGGGTTCTCTGAATGGCGGCAGTGCCGAGCAAGAGACTCCCTGTGCTCAATGTGCAGAGGGGAAGCCACAGCCAGAAGATCATGGCTATCAGTGCATGTAGTGTGGACTACTACATTGATTTTCAGAATCCCCATCGGTGCTCTTGATATGAGATGTAGATACTTCCATGGAACCAGGCTGGACCAATGTAAGTTTCTATAAAAGATCATTTCTGGAGTTCTGCGTTAAATAATGTCATCTGTAATTTACCAAATGTTTGTTTCACTATTACAAAGGTGTAAAAATCAATTGATGTCTGCAGAACATTAAAGTTTTGAATCCAATTTTTATATGGCTATCCCCCCATCAACTTTACCTTCTGAATGTCACAGAACAGTGTGGCAGGACATGAAGATATTTTAATGAAAGCTGCAGATTAAAAAGCAATTTAAAGTGATGCCTCAAGCAAATGTGAGCTTGAATCTGATTGGTTTCTCTACGTTGTCAAACATGAATTATCCCAGAGAGTTGTCTCAAATCGGTTCAGCCAGTAAAAGATTTTCAGTGGTCAGATCGTTGGAAACCAGAGAAACCCCAGTGCCATTTTAGTGTTAATGAAACTGGAAACAGAATTCTGGAGCTAAAAACAATATTTAATAAAACCCACACATGCAACAGGGCCATGCCCTCATTATTACAGTTTTACTTTTAGCAGACTGATGATGGTGATCCATTGTTCACACCTGAATCCCAATAGAACAACATTTTGTACCTTTCAGTGTACAGGGGAGCAGCGCCAGAGGTGTTAGACCTCTTTTCACATGTCACAGAAAGATCCACTGAATTCACAGAAAACACAGATTGCTCTAATTGGCCACATTTCTGGAAATAGTCTTTGTATACTCCTTTACATGTTCATTGTTGTCTCAGCTTCATAGAGGGAAATGAAGCATGCTTCCATCCTCTGCCAAGTGGCCTATTTTTCCTGGAGAACTCACCCCACGTCTGATCACCTCCATCCACCTATGACAAGAAGCACAGAAAACACATATATGGCTCACTTTACATGCAGCCTTCAAATTCAACAAAAGCTTTCAGATTTGTTAAAACGGTCTGAAGTATCACTAGCCAAGCAATGCTGGGTCTCTAGCTATGGTGGCAGGTTTTCTGTGCATTTGTTTGGAAGAAAAATGTAACAAATTCCTCCTTCAACACATAAGAGTGCCGATCGAGGAATCTGCTGTTTGCATTGTATTCTAATGGCGGCCGCTGTCAGAATACCCTAACAGGGCCAGCAGCTCACTGGCTACCCGCTCTGTTTGATGTTAGATTTTCTGACCGGCTCCTCTGATCAGCTAATCCAAGGAGGATGGCTGAAAGGGTGCTGACAGTGGCACCCCCTGTTGGAATTTTGGCCGGTTCATCAAGAAGCAGCCGAAATTCTTATAGTACATTGCCATCCCATAAACCCCATTTGCAAGTAAAATGACCTATTTGTGCGTAATATTCAAAAATATTTGGATCATTGGGTTTGAATTGAGTTTGAGAAAAACACTCCCGTGAACATTCCTAGCTGTACATTTAATGCGCAATATATCATCCTATTGAGATATGTCTAGTTTTCCTTTTCAGGGTATTGAGAGGATATTCTGTTCAGCATAAGGAGGGAATGATCTACAGTGGAAACGGTTTAGGTGTATTTTTGCAAACGCCCACCCATCAACTGCAGCGTTGATCACCCTTCCTGGGGAGGAGCTGTAGAATCCTAAGATGACCACTCCAGATACCCCTTCCTGCCACCACCTTGCAGAGGGGTATGATTTGGTTAAAGCTCACACACATTACAATCTGATCCCAGCCATGCCATAGATATTCTTCCCCCATCCCATTGCCAAAGCCTCCTTGTCCACCTGCATGGGAATGAAGGGGGCTTGTCCGCACCCAGTATGTATTGCAAGGTGGGGTCTGGTGTGTTATACACCCACTCGCTGCTACAGCATCAATGTGCAGTATGCCTGTGACCACCACTGAACCAATGTGCACTTCTGCACTCGCCACCTCTGCATTAAAAGCACACTATTCCGGTCTACTTTCTCACTCTCCACCATTGCATCAAAAGGCACTTCTTCATTCAATGCCACTGCACCAGCACTCACACCACTGCACTGACACACAATTCCTCTGCCACTGCACTGGTGCCCACTTCTTTACTCTCCCCCTCTGCTACTGCACCAACATGCCCTTCCTGATTCATGCTGTTTAAAAGGAGCAGTTTTGCTAGTTTTTGTAGAAGGTATTTCAAAGTTTGTGTTGTCATATTATCTTGAACTGAATTGATCATTTATATATACAGTTTTTTTTAGTTTTTAAAACTCCATTGCAGGACTTGTGTTTACTTTTGAGTTCCTGTAATGGTGGTGGTTGGCCCACTTGAAGAATACATTGTGCTGCCTTTTTTGTGGCTATGACAATGGACCCTTAGTGGTCCAAAATGTGCGATCCTAAGTTCCCTGTTGTACAAGAGTCACTCAAAGCTGGAACATAATCTGAGCATATGATTGACAACAATGCACTTTTTGTAATTATGAAGAAACCCCTTTTAATTGTGAAAATAAACATTTCAAGGATATCTGAATCCAAGAACTAAAATGTAATATTAACCTGTAGCAGCCAACGTGGCTGCGTGAAACTGATTTTGTTTTTTATGGTCACTATAATATAAATATCACCACTACTTGACAGAATAAGACCAAAAATACATAATCACATTACAGACCTTCTCCATGTATACTCGCTGTCCGCTCTGAAGAAATACACATGTGATTTGAACTGTAGTTTGAAGACATGACGACAATTAACTGGGTCTGAATTTGATGGAATACTGACTGTGTATCCCAGGAGCGGCAGAGAGGCAAGTGGGGCATCTTCCTGCAGACATGCAAATCAACATCACCTCAATTCATGATCAAAAATTCACAGAGACTCCAAGCCTGCAGATACTGAAACACTCCAAATGTAATAGATAGAGAAATGCCTATCTGGTCAGAGAGTGATATGCTTCTACATGTGGGTATGGAATAGGTCCAGAAATCTATTACTTTGTTCAAACACCACAAGTGACTAAGGTAGCTGATAACCACAGGCAGAAGGCTTGCTAGGAGTTTCACTGCAGAATGACATTCATGTAACACGTTTAGCTACTTCTATTAATGTCAACAAAAGTACTATTCTGAATATAAGATCAGAAAGGTTTAGGATTCCTTCTTTCAATTGTCTTCTGTCTCTGCCAAACCCTCCGCTGGCTTCCGATCGCCAAACAAATAACATTTTAAATAATAATCTACAAAGCCATCCACAACTCGGCTCCCAGCTACATCACCAACCTCGTCTCAAAAAATATTACCCAAACCATCCTCTCCGCTCCTCCCAAGACCTCCTACTCTTGCTTCCTCATCACCTCCTGCCTCCAGGAGCCCTTCCTTTTCTATCCTCTAGAACTACCTACTCCAACCTGTCTTTCCAACCTCTATTCCGTTTGCCTTTAGACAATCCCTAAAAACTCTTTTCTTCTCTACCCAACAACTGAAATGTTACTTTCTCAAACAACTTATCTCTTCTCACGAGCAGATCCCAACCATCTGGTCTTATATTGTATACTGTTTCCCTTTAGAAGTGCTGTGCAAACTGTTGGTGTTCTATAAATCCTGAACAACAATAATAATAGCAAAGAGAATCATTTTGGAAGACACCTTCATCTCCCTTTACATAGGTTTTGTTTTTACATTTTACCTGGTGAGTTTTGTAAAAGAAAAGGCAGAAACTGGTGAAGATCACCCATAGTCGTTGCCAACCATTGCTGTTCTTGAACTTCCGAAGTAAGTATCCAGAGAGTTGGTTCTAGAAGACAAATGAGCGTTCTCATAGTAAACCATGTGCCAGTATACGTACACCTACCTGATTTTACCTGCAGTCCAAAAAGGACTCGTTTAATTGAAAAGCAGATCATATTCAAGATAGGACCTTGTATCTCTCTCTATCCCCACCCCTCCACAATGCAATGTGCTAACTAATGGAGTAGATTGAGCAGAGCATAGGAAGCTCTTGTGGAGCTTTTTATTTCTTAGCTCAGGCCTGCTCATGCACAAGTAGCTGAGAGAAAGTCATATACAGGAATAAATATTCAGATTATTTCATATGTGACTGACAAAGACAAATAATTTGTCTTCCAATAGAGCAGGGGTGGGCAGTTCCGGCCTCCACCTCTGCTGTAACTACACATCCCAACATGCCTTTGCCGCTTGGAGTCATACCTGTAACTTTCAGTCTTGCAATGTCTCATAAAACTTGTCGTTCCACAACAGCTGGAGGGCCGTAGTTGCCCACCCCTGACAAGGAGGGGACTACGGTATGTGGACATTAGTAAAGGTTCTCCTGTGACCCAAAAGAGAACGACAGCAAAAAAAGATTTGGCCATAGCTCTCTTAATAAATATACTGTTGTCAGCTTCCCCTTGGATCTTAAGATTTTCCTAGCTGGATACAAAAACATCTCAGGTACAGGGCCTTGCAAATGTTTGATTCCTTGATTTTGACTGAACAACTGAAATGTGGTCACATTTGTACTTTGTTAGGAAAAATGTTAAGAAAATAAAGTAAATGTGCTGTTTGTAGAGGTGATCTAACCATTTGTGGTGGAAGCTCCATGTCTACACAGATAAAAAAAAACAATTGCCCAATAATTAATTCATTATCATCAGTGAATAATTAAAGTGACATGAAAGTCATGTCCCCTTCCCCCCCCATGCTGCTTTAAGGACATATCTTATATGATACCTCTTGATCCGATCATCTTCTTCTTTCCAGTAGTTTTCAGGAGTCCTTCCAGCACTGGTGCCGGTCTCAGATCCAGCGCCGACTGCTGTGTCTTCTGGGTGCAACAGAGTCTATGCTCGTGCACACTCCTGGCTGCGTACATTGACTTACCCTGCGTCTCTCCTCTTCTCCCGGCCGAAGATATCTGCTGCGCATGCGCCCGCCCCATCATCATCATTCATGGCCACCCGAGAATCTTCAGAACTTCGGACGGGAGCGAGCGGCAGAGACACAGGTAAGTTTTAAGCTATTTGGTAACTTTAAAAAAAAAAAATGTTTTTGCATATGTGTACTGCTTGCTACCGTGTTTCCCCGAAAATCAGACCTACCCCGAACAGAAGACCTAGTTGTGACCATTCCCAGGGCTGGTGGTGGCATACGGGAGAACTTGGAAGAGCCGCGGGAGAGGCAGGAGAGAATCAGCGGTGCCAACAAAGCCAACACTAGAAGAAGCGAGGGAACAGAGCCGCATAAGCCGATGCCTCCTTTATAGGGCGGGCTCCTATCACAGATGGAGTGATAAAAAAAAAAACTCTGCCTGTGAGGAATCTATAGTGAAAGCGCGCTTCGCTCATTCTGGCCAGCGATTGATTACCAAATTGCTCTTGTAAAGGTACGGCACCCCTGATCACCATATTTGTGTACATGAATACATGTAAACTGTTGTACATTTTATTTTTTACAATATTTAAAAAAATAAGACCTACGCCAAAAGTAAGAACGTGTGTTTTTTTGAGCCCTCCAAAAAAAAGGACGTCTTATTTTTGGGGAAACACGGTAGTAGTAGATATATGCAAACAGAAAACAAAGGTTTAATTATACTTTAATGTAACTGCCACATTTTCTTGGTTAAAACCCTTTGTTAAGGAATCAGTAGGCTGTAAATATGAAGGGCAGCCCTGAACAGGAAAATGTATTGCACACTGCCCGGGGATAAAGCAATTCAAATACAGTAGGTAGTAAAGGGTACCATGTCCAGGTACAGTATTTGGCTGTCTCAGTGGACAATAACATCAAACCACCCAATTGCTGCCCAGGAGGCGTTGTCTACCAAAAAACTTTGAAACCAGAAGGAAACTTGTGAGGATACCAAAACCCACTTTAAAAGGGAGCTACAGAATTCAAATGCTGACACTGAGTTAAAGGTGCATTGGTTACCTGTTGTATGTCAAGAGCTCTGTATAACACTGGCCTACATGTCAGGATGGCACACAAGAAGCTATGTGAAAGCACATGAACAGTGCAAAAGCATGGCATTGACAGTAGCAATATCAAAAAGAGTTTGTGATCAGAGATAAAAGCCAAGCTTTCTGGCCAAGGATCAAAGGGATATGTGTGGTGACAATCAAACACTGGCCACACCTTGAACTTATCATAAAAAAAAAAAAGCTGTTGACCTTTCCACATAACATGATAGTTGCAACATGTTAATACTCTGAGTGAATGGTCGGGAACAATTATAAAGAGAAGGATTTCTGTGACTAAGTACTAAAGCCAGACTAACCCATTTTCACATGGTGGCCAGAAATAGTGTCAGGCGGCTGTATTTATATTGTAACAGGTTTACTTTATTTTCGTAAAGCCACAGAGTCCAAACTTCCCTTTGTAGCATTAATACCATAATCAACAGGAAGAAAAGACGACAGAGGTGGTTCAAACAGTAGTAGATGAAGAATCGCCTCGGTATCTCTGCCATGTATGCACTTAAATAAAAACAAAAACACACATATTTGGTATATAATGTAAGAATTAGTCAAAAGTCCGGATTTCTTTTGCAAGGAATTGTATGCCGTACATTTAACCATTCTTTCTTTAGATAGCAAGCACGTGCCCCGATATGAACACAGGTTCTATAATATGGAATATACTACATTAGGGCCACTAGATGGCGATGAGTTGCGTAGGACATTAATACTTCATTTCTACGCTAGTCAGCTGGCCATAATGCGGTATTACATTTGAATATGTTTTACTCTATTCGCACAAAACAAATATTTACAGAGATGCACAGGGTGAATGACTCTGCAGATTATTTAGAAAAAGACTCCTAAATGTATTGTCATTATTTATTTGAACGCTATAAATGTGTAAGGCATTAAAACAGATGAAAGAGTAGCTCCAAGAAAACCTCAGATCGTCCACAACTTGGCAAACTAGGCAGGAGCCTAGGGCCCAGTGGGTGTCCAGGGAAGGACCAGCTACAACCTTCATGCTCCCACAATAAAATCAGGAGGCCAGTGCAGTTTGTCAAAGCTGTACACCTGCCTGTCACTTCACAAGGGAGGATGTAGTTGTAGGCATGGGGACCATGCCAGTACAGACACCGCAAACAGTGCAGCTTCTCTGCTCCTATTGCAATCCTTGTCAAAGTCAGGCAAAGTGATAGGTGGGCAAAAGTTTCTATTGCACCTATGGTCCCATTCTGCCTTAATCCCTCTTTGCCTTGGATGTGTATCTAGTAGGCTCTGTTCAGGGGTAAAGAGGTCTCTAAAATAGGTCAGTGGATTACCTCCATCATAGTAATATGATCAGGCAGTGACACACTCTGGTTCCGGTACCAGCACACATGACTGAGTGTGTTGGGGCGATGGTTTTGGCCTGGAGTCTGGATCAGTGGTTCTGTGAAGTGAAAGAAACAAGGATACATCATGAACTGAAATGGCGGTGGTGGGCTTATTTAATTCATTATTTATTAATAATAGTTCATTTAAAAAGGGTTATTTCTTGAGTGCAAATAACAATGAGGACAATTATTGTGCATCTATGCCCCAAATGTCTTTTTTAGTTTTGGATAGAACAGGGAAGGATTAGAACGCTTGTCAAATATTACTGCCATCAGAGGCTTCATTAGACAGATTCCTTCACTTCCTGTCAAGTAAAAAAAAAAAAAGGTTGTCACCAGGACACGAAGTGAGGGGAAATCTTTTAACAATAGAGAAGTAAAATTTATATAGGGGGGGGGGGGATCAGCTTTTTATTGTTGCCCACTTCCCTGTTGCAGAATTTCCCGCACTTCCTGTCTGGTAAATGGTTGTCCTCAGAAAAGAAAGTGAGCAGAGTTTTAAAAAGCAGGAAACCGTACATAGTTACATAGTAGGTAAGGTTGAAGAAAGACACAGGTCCATCTAGTTCAAGCTGTATGAACCGCTGACCTCTAAAGCCTTGGTTCTCAACTGGTGGGTCGTGCGCAGTGTTCAGTGGGTCGCCTGTGCCTTCTACTCTTCTAGGTGAGAGGCTCCTCTGCCTCCCCCAAGCGCAGCACTGTCAGTTCTTGTGCCAAGCAGCCATTCAAAATATGCTGCCTGGTGCCGAGTGTCAGCATGAGATGGGATGGGGCTAAAGCCGTGAGGGAACTCCATCCATATGTGCATGTGCATTGCTTACAGCTCCCTCGTGTGCCCTATAGAGGTGCCTGGACCGGAGTGACATCACATTCTGGCTCCCGGCACCTCTACATGGCATGCAAGGTTGCTGTACCAGCAATGCACATATGAATGAAGTTCCAGCACAGCACAGCAGCCCACACAGGACCCCAGTCTGAGGATCCACTACAGTTCTCGCATGATAGGGAGACTGTGTGGATAAAAAAAAAATGTAAAAATTATGTATGTCAGTGTTTTTGGGGGCCCGTTCACACTAGTATGGTGCATTAATCATAGTATTGTGCCATTATCGCACTGTACCATGCAATCGCACCTACCGTGCATTCTGTGTGTGGGAGGTGTGTTGCGTTGCCATTCATTTTAATTTTACCCCAAACGCACGTCCCAACCCACTGTTCGTATGCCCGCTCCTGAACGCACGGTATCTAAAGCGTGCGTTTCATTGCAGTACGACTTGAGTCGCGACTTCACGATCAAGGACAAAATGTGGGTCCTGATGTTACACCGGTTGAGAACCACTGTGCTAAAGGGTTCTAATCTTTCCACAGCTACCCAAAACTAAAAAGAGAACAATAAAAAAAAGTTTTGGATAAAGATACACTTTAAGGTGCAGTCAGTATGTACAGCACCAGTATATAAAAGCTATATGTAGTGAAAGTACTAGGTCACACTTGCTATATTATGCAAATGAATAAGTAAATGCGAGGTAAACTATATCTAAGGAACAGAAATGAGTAACAATAGTCAATTGTTAGGACACATGGAAGGATTACCTGACAGGAGAAATAAGAGAGATGCTTACGCTGCAATGACTGGGCAGATAATTCGCTGTATCTCGGAGCCCGGCTGATAGCAGCATTCAAATCATCCAGCCAACGTCTCATATCCACCTGAATGCTAAATCACACAACACAAATCCTAAGTATCAGAGGATGGTTTAACTTCCAGACTAGCACAGACTTCTTGTATGAGAGTGCTGCGTGGTGGAAGAATGCATTACAAGGTTCAAGATTTAAAAATGTGCACACAGAAGGTACTGCACAAATAAATGTAACCCTCAACCTGACTCCTCCACATGGCATAAACTAACAGGTACTGCTCAGCAACAGAGCAAATACAGAATACACCAAACCCATAGAGAAATCCTGAAAAGTTCCAAACATTTTATGAATACAATAATTCTAGGAAACCATTGTTTGGTCTGCTTGAAGAACAACCTCACCTGGCAGCCACTCCAATAGTTGTTTGTGCCGAGTAGATAGTAAAGCAGTGAGGGACAGAACTCTGAGTGTCCTCAGCCTGTGGACCACAAAGAAGTAAAATACAAGGATTTAATAATGATGTAGCCAATGAGACACATAACCCTTCACATTAAAACAAAAAGTCCAAAACGTTTGACACAAATATAAGACTATGACTCAGATAGATAGATATATATATTATTATTATTATTATATAATGCTGTCCATTGGTACTTACTGGAGGATCCAATACCATCAGCTGAAATCACAGTGACAGGTATAAAGGAGAGGAAGAGTCATTATAAGGCATGCAGAGAAGAAAAGAAAGCAAAAACGTAATGAATATATGAACACTAAACCACAAAAAAAGTGTCTTCACACAGACCTATTGTGATTGTTATATTCCTTTTCTGTATAGATGTGGATATGTATTGGCTAGATATCTCCCACTCTGTCTTATGTTTTGCTTATTAGTACTGACCACTGTTAGATAGGTTGCCAGTGTATAGTTTTCGCAGCCATTGTGAAGTGATCCCTTATACATACTACATGCTGTATGAAGTGCATTTTCTGCCATGAGGAGATTTGTAATACAAAATACTTAACTTATACTGAAATGTATGGTGCGCTGACTTATATTTGTACGATTACCTTGGATTTGGGGCTTGCTTGAGGAAACCCGGATTTTATTTACTGCAAACACAGAAATGGGCCTATACTGCTTCAATATGCAGTTAGGGGTTTGTGATCGCCTAACTTTTTATTACTGTGCTGATCAGAACTTTGTCAGGTTTCATTACATCCTGTCATGGGGAAATATAGAAGAGGAATGCGCTTGGTGTCTGAGCCGAGTTATGAATGGCACCAATGACAATGGAACATACACCAATGTGGTCATACCTCCATCCTTTCTATCATTGTATCTAATCAGATATTGACTACAAACAATAGTCATTTGTTTCTTACCAAAAACAGTTGGATGGTTGAAGTTCAGTTTCATAGATGTAAAAGAATATACTTAAAGTGAAAAGTGTAAAAAAAATAAAAAAATGTGTAAAAAAATAAAATAAGGGAATTTTTTTAGCTGTGCTGGTTTTGTAAAAAAAAAATACTACAAATCAAAACTGGGAAAAAAGTGTTTTTTTTTAAACGTTTTTTTCCTCTTTTTTTATATTTTATTTGTCCTAAGTGAGGCGTTAGACACACATATGTGATATAAATATGTAGCCCTATCTGTCCTCTAAAAAACAATATATAATATGTGTGGGTGCACTTTGTAAGAAAGTATATTACTGACGTGGAAGAATCACACAGCAAAAATGTCAAAAGTGTGTCAGTCATTTACGAACAGAAACTAAAAACAAGCTCAGTCATGAAGGGGTTAAGCTAAGATGGTGGGAAGAGGGGGGGACCTATGGACAAACAACAAAGACAGCTCTTCTTTGAGATAGCTTGCAATTACATGATTGCAAGCTCTGGGTGTTTATGTTGTGTCATCCAGTTGAGGAGGCCTCCTATCTGGCTCTTTAATACTCACCAGCATTCCATGCAGAGGCAAGCGTCCATGAACCCGAAACTGGTTAGTGCAGCTCAGGCCTTTTCGTGTGTATACCAGCATATCTGAAAACTAAAAAAAGAGACACAAAAAACTTGCATACTAGCTGCATTTAAAAACACATTGTTAGTTTTTTAAATAAATGCATAATAAAATGATTTGTGTTTAATATCTGCTTAAAGTTCAGCTTTACATGTCAGGTGGATTTAATCAAAAAACAGATTGAGGGGTTCTATAGCAGAGAATGTATATGGCAGTGGGTCAGATCTGATGATGATTGCGGTATATGAAAATTGTAACCAGGGTAGTTGCGCTAGGATATATTTACAGAAATTAACCAGCTGCAGCAGCAATATCTATCAACGTGATCAAGTGTAAGCCGGGGTGCTGCGCTTGGTTGTGTGTGCTCCACCTTTTAATTGGTCTTTAAGTTGTGTGGGAATGTGAAAATATCACAAACTAAATACAGTGCCAGTGATCAAATCCTAATTGCGGCTGTATACTGAAAATACAAGTCGAAAAAAGGAAGGTAAATGTGTTCGTGAATAAAAATTAAGTATAATATTGTCGTGTGAAAACAAGTTATATTGTGAATAATAAATAAATAAAATCTGGTTGAAAATTGTGTAAACGGGTGAATTATTCCATCTGGCAATCAAAAAAAAAAAAAAAGGGTACCCTTTTGAAAAAGTCTTCAGGACGAAACGCGTAAAGGGAGTGCTCCGTTTCCTCGCTGACACCCTGGGAAGAGGTTCTACACAGGTTGCATATGCTGTTTTACCAACGGAAGTTTGTAAGTGCAATCATTTTTCAACTTTTTAAATAAAGGATCTTGCATCTGCACTTAAATCCTGTTTTTTCTTCTATGGTCGGTCCCCCCCTCGTTTCCTGGCTGATCTCTCCGGAGGGTTCTCCATCCATCCTGAAGGCTGTCCAAGCACCGCCGATGAGAGGAAATGCAGCCTGACGGCAGGAGAGGGCAGAGAGACTTATTGAAGAATTTTTCCCTCTGCAGACTCATCAATAGAACTATAAGTAAAAGACACTTGACTTCCAATGCTGATCGGAGGAAAATAGTATCTTGCTGCTCATAATCCCCGATCATACACCTCTATATACACTATATTTTATTCACCTTTTATATCAGTAGATGTGTTTTTATAAGAATTTTGTGCACTTTGGCTTGTAGCCTTTGACTGGCCATACAAATAGTTTTTATTCCATTTTTTATTCATATTTTTATTTTCTAATTTTTGATTGCCAGATGGAATAATTCACCCGTTTACACAATTTTCAACCAGATTTTATTTATTTATTTATTATTCACAATATAACTTGTTTTCACACGACAATATTATATTTTATTTATTTACACATGCTACACATATTTTGCGATATTTACATTGTTAACTTAATATTTAATAATATTAAATTTTTATTCACAAACACATTTACCTTCCTTTTTTCAACTTGTATTTTCAGTATACAGCCGCAATTAGGATTTGATCACTGGCACTGTATTTAGTTTGTGATATTTTCACATTTCCACACAACTTAAAGACCAATTAAAAGGTGGATCACACACAACCAAGCGCAGCACCCCGGCTTACACTTGGTATATGACAATTGTCTTGTTACACAAATGTGTATTTTTCTTTATCATTGGAGAAGAATACTTCAATGAATGATCTCTACTTCACTTGTGTATTTTATGGGTTTTTTCTGAGCAGACAATACAAAGTAAATAATCAAGTAAGTACATTCTAAAAGTAACACCTAAATGTACATTCCTCAAGAATTTAGAGGACCTCTGCACTGAAAAAAACATCCCGACCTAAATTTTACAAGCAATTCAGGTTTTGTTTTTTTCCTAGTTGAAAAATAAAAATGCTGCGAATTCGTTTTCAGCTGCCATATACCAATGTATCCTACTTTTAATTGGCTGCTGTGGTCGACAGCATATCTCCCAATTCCCGTGGCATTGTCCAGGATTTGCAGGTCTGATAGGGTTGTCAAAATCGATAAAGTACGTAGAAATGTCCACAATATGGGAACAAAGGGGATTAATAGGTTTTGGGTTTGTAGCTTAGGACAGAAAGCACCACAAATTTGATCTTGACCAGCCTTCAATGTTTGCAGAGTATACTTACAAGATAGAACATGCGTGGCTGCAGGCCATTCTTGGTCAGTTTGTATAGACAGCCCTCCCTAATAAATTCCTAATAGAGAGGAGACAAAAAAATGTCACCACAGTAAACAAACAGCATGCATGAGCAGAACTTTGGCATACTTACACGACCTGGCGAAGACAGGTGCTCTCCTCCCAGCAGGTCTCTTTCAAGCTGGTCCAGTCTTTGCAGGTTCTGCAAGTGCAGCAGACGGTGTCGGATCCGAGAACTCACAGCACTGGTCTCACCTAAAGCCCCTGTGACAAACACAAAAGTTAGGAAAAAAAAGTGTGATGCACCGAAATCCAGTCATTGCATTGCTTCCCTTCAGTGCGATAATGCGTGTTGCTGGTGTGAAAGGAGCCCAAGTCCTCAGATAGGCAGAACAGCAGACATTGATGGATTCAGTAGGATAATGGTCAGATCAGATACATACAAATGGATATGAAACAGTCCAGCTTCCAGAAAGGTAGACAGAGCACAGACTGACAGATGATTATTCCACAAATTTAATAAAAAAGACAACTTTTCCCCTATGTTATGAAACTTTAGCCAATTGTTGGATAAGATATAGAAGACGGGGTCACGTCAGGTAAATGGATACTAAACATGTCAAGTCTTAAAATTGTGTGCGCGCCTGTAAAAAGCGTAAAAAACTACCATACCCAAAATTGGCCATAGGCGACCCTTCTAGACACTTCACACACTTAGATCTCCAGCTACAGCAACCAGAGAAATGACACAGACACTGGAAGTGAGGTAAATCACGTCACTTCCACTTTGCTGGTCCTGGGCCCACACGGGGAACAGCGGAGCCTGGGACATCCAGCAGCAGATGCAAAAGGGAGATCAGGCGGCTCTTTGGTTGCCTAAACGCTTGTATGTAACAGTCATCGCCGGCTGTAACAAACGCTTACAGTGTCCCGCATGAGAAGGGGGGAAAAAAGCACTTTAATTACCTCCAACTCGCTGTAAAGTGCGAGCTGTCTGTCCAATTACAATGGGTGGCCAGCAACGGTTTATTGTAAAATGAATTTTGTCACACACACAATCTTGTAGCAGTTTTTAATGACCTACGTGTTCTGCTGACCTTTTAGATAAACTGCGGAAACAGAACGTTGCTTACCCAAGCACACATAAGCAAAAAATACACCTGCCACAGGAGAAATATACAATAGGGGGTTGTCATTGCTGGTGTCCTGAAAATGAAAATTGCCTGGCTGTGTCTTACTTCTGACTGATCCATAGTCTGAACAAACTCATGCATTGAATCCGATCCTTTGGGTCAGCAGAAAGTGTCAAGGAACATTCACAAAGGCACCTGTGAAGTCCTGAGGGCCAACGTTTGGCCCTCAGGAGTGCCTGGCTGGTGACAGTAGTACAGAATTAACTGATAAAATACCAGATCATCAGGCAGAGCCACAGGCAGGATAAGACGGAGGCCAGGGAGGCTGCAGACCAGTGCAGTTTGATGGTTAAGAAGGTCAGGGGAGGTAGCAGACAATGAAAAGAAATCCCAAATTAAACTTGAGTTTGAATAAAGGGCAACTGCGAATAGCTGGGGTCAGAGGATAACCGAAGTTCAATACCAGAATCAAGTGCCAAGTAAGAGAGCCAAACCAGAAAAAACAAATCCAACATAAACAGATATCACTTTTCACAGACTCAGGTTCTGACATGTATTTGTTACTGGGTCTGCGCACAGAGTCAGATTAAAGCCCCGTGCTGACTGATGTCTGGTGCTGACCTGCAGCATGACTATGCCACAGTGCTGAATATCTGTCAGCAGAGGGCTCTGTGCAGCCTAAACAGCAGATCTAAAACAAAAGGGAACAGAGCGCCACCTCCGTGTGTAAAATCGTTTATTAGAAGCCCCGTTCATCAAAATCATGACTGATGAAGAGGGCTTGCCCCTGAAACGCGTCAATCTTGGCTGACTGTGGCCGGAGGCTACCGTGTTGCATAGTCGGGGTGATACCATGTGGGTTGACAGTGTGGCCTCTTGTTTGTTGCTAAAGCGCGATGAAAACGTTTGCTTGCGAGTACATTTATCCCTTGTTTTATTTATCCTAAAACGATTTTACACACGGAGGTGGCGCTCTGTTCCCTTTCGTTTTCTATGTTCGTGGTGGAAGCCCCAGAGCCTTGGATGAGCAGCCCCTCAAGTCTGTGTGAAAAACTGATTAACTGTTGAAAACTTTGAGTATGCAACAGCAAGTGGATGGTTCAGCTGGCAGCCATTAGCGCCAAGAGTTAAAGTAAACAGCATATCTGACCAATCCAGTAGGAGGACATGAATCAGGAGAGGCGAGGGAGCTAGCCACCTGTGGACTTCTAAGAATTTGTGTGATCTCACTGCATCTACATATGTTTTGAACATGGTTCACTTAGGATACAAAATGTCATTGATTCTATGCAGAAGATGTCTAAAGAGTATGCAACCCAGGCCTGTAGCACATGCAAACATCTCATCATACTGTGGAGGCTGGATTGTAAAGCAACACAATAACTATAGTTTATTATCTATGCCCTGTGTCTTTAATAAGCTAAGCAAAACTCCAGGAAAGCATTCAGCTACATGAAAATATATATAACAAGTAAAAAAGGAAGAGTTATGGGGCAGGAAGGCTATCAAGTTCTACGAAGGCTACTTTTAGATGCCTCATTTTTGGAAAGAATGATAAACCACTAGCAGACTGGTGGCGTGGAAACGTTGTACGCTGTAATTATTGAAACCCCAGTCTCTGTGCTGTAATCTGAGCACATTCCAAGAACATATTCATGAAGCAGGGGGTAAGTAAATACAATATGTGCATATAGCATGGAGTAGAAGCAGCAGAACCAACTCACAGGAGGTTTCCATGTTTGGTGTTTAGAATGCGGCTCTGGTTATCAATAGTTTATCTGAATAATATACTATTATATAATATTTATAGGATCTCAACAAACGGAGAAATATTCTGTACAAAGCACCG